AAAAAAAAAAAAAAAGACTGTGAATTATCTATGCAGGACAGCTCTTTCCCTCCCCTCTTCTCCCACCTAACACCAGAGATCCACAAGTTGTCAAGGCAGGTGTAGTGGCAAGGGGCCCACATTACTTTTCCTACAGTCAAAGACATGCCTAACCATGGGTGGAGGTGCCTGAGTGCTTACTGCCTTTCTTTTATGTTCAGTATGTTCAGCTTCAGTAAGGCCCCAGCCCTTCCTTGCTTACACCTATACTTATTCCCATCTGAGTTTTGGGAAGAACTGTCAGTTCTCCCCTTGAGGCATACTCTTACCCAGCTACCTGAGACCCAGTCTCCAGGACTATGGATTTCTCACTTTTTTTTTTCCAGACAGAGTCTTACTCTGTTGCTCCAGCCAAGAGTGCCCTGGCATCAGCTTGCTCACAGCAACCTCCTGGATTCAAGTGATCCTGCTTTCTCAGCCTCCCGTTAGCTGGGACTACAGGCACCTGCCATGTCGCTGGCTAATTATTTTATTTTATTTTTTAAAGACAGAGTCTCACTATGTCACCCTCAGTAGAGTGCTGTGGCATCACAGCTCACAGCAACCTCAAACTCTTTGGCTTAAGCAGTTCTCTTGCCTCAGCCTCCCAAGTAGCTGGGACTACAGGGGCCTGCCACAACGCCTGGCTGTTTTTATGTTGTTGTTGTTGTGATTGTTGTTTTAGCATGCCTGAGCTGGGTTTGAACCCTCCAGCCCCGTTATATGTGGCTGGCGCCCTAACCACTGAGCTGTGGACGCCAAGCCTAATTTTTCTATTAGTAGAGATGGGATCTCACTTTCACTCAGGCTGGTCTCCAACTCCTCAGCTTAAGTGTTCCACCCACCTTGACTTCCCAGAACGTTAGGATTACAAATTTGAGTTAGGGTTTCTGACTTTAAGGAATGAAGCAATCCTAATCTGTGAAAAAATAAAAGACCAGAAATACTTTTTGGTGAGACTTTTTAGGCTTTTTGAAATGCAAATGGTAACTCCCTCCCCCTCTAACCCCATGACCCTCTGTGACACTTCCAAGTCCTATAACTTCACCTGCTTCTAAGAAGCAAAGGAATCTTGCAAGTTAGCAAGAGGAGGCATGTACATGAGCCTCAGAGATACCATCAGTGGATTTTCAGCAACTCTAAAATGTGTGATAGAGAAAACTATTTATGAAACCAAAGACAATTTATTCTGGTAGCCATGGGTAGTGAACGTCTAGGTTTATCAGAACAGCAGCCACAGGAGCCCTGTGATTTCTACCATACTCTTCATCTGCAGTCTTATTGCATGTATAGGAAGGAGAGCCTGTGCTCCCTTAATAATTGTAGGTGGATGTTGGATATTTCAAGCAGTCCTGCTTCTATGTCATTGCTGGTGCTCTTCCCTCTGGACTGGAGTCTCAGAGGCACTTGACTCCTCTCTGGAGTCTGTCCCTTCTCAGAGGCCCAGTTCACTTGTTTGTACTTCCTGTAAGAGCATCCTTCCCTCTGCCTCAGGTTAATGCACCTGTGAATTAGCCCTCCTGGAAGGTCTGAGTTGAGGGTAATTAGTTCTGTGATCTTATACTCCATTCTTTCTTTTCTCGCCCACTCTGACTCCTTGAAAACATAGGATCTCAAAGCACTGAGTATTTACTCGTCTCAGTGTAGATATCGTGTTTTGCAGAGAATGACTAAAAGCAAGCTTTTTCCTTGCTTAGTTGGGCTTTTGCATTTTTCTGCCACTCATTTCCTATACCCTAAACCCTTCAGGGGTCAAAAGCAGATGTGTTCCCTCCAACTGTTTTCAAACATTATTAGTAGCAGTTATACCTAGCTTTGTTAGATGTCTCTCTTTTTCTCTCCTTTCTGTAGAGTCTGGGGCTGCCGTCTGTGAATTCTTTTTGAAAGCTGCCTGTGGCAAAGGTAAGAGATTCCTGGCTCCCTGACATGCATGCTACCTGAGGTGCCCTCCACCACCCTGTTCCCTAGCAGACTTACAGGCTATCAGATTTCTGGTTTATATTGCTTTCTAGAAAGTAACAATGTCCATAGATGAATTGTGGTTTGGATAGGCTAGTAACTGGATTAGGTGTTCTGCCTGAAACCTAAAACACAAGACTGAACCCGTCACCTCACATGAATTAGTGAGTGGCTAAACCCAGTGTCATGAGCCCAGGCCCTTTTGATCCCACAATCTACACAGGCTCTCTGTTCTCTGTGGCTAGTCATGAAAAGTTCCTATGGTACTCTGTCTTGTAGGTTCTTACTCACACTCATCAGTACCCCAACAGAGGCTGCTTTCAAGCCAGTTTCTTCCCTAATTCAAAAGAAGCATCACTGGGCAGGACTGTACATTGCGTGGTCTGGGCACTTGTCTTCCTATAGGAAAATTATTTAGGAAACACAATTTTAATCAGCAGCTTGCATAGGGAGCACAGAATCAGAACAAGGGTATGGTTTTGGTGAGTTTTGCTTCTATAATGTAGTCATTTACTACTGAAGCAGTAGCATTGCAGGTAAATGAGCCAGGTCAACTTTACAATGTTTGTTCAGAACATCATTCCCCCACTGGGCTCCTAGTCTCACTCCCCTATCTTTGCTTAGTAATGCTGCCCTCTCACCAGGTGCTGTTCGCCCTGCCATCCTTAACACAGGGCACTTCATTAGTCTCTGTGTTGACTGCTACAGTAGCCTTCTAGCCACTTATGGCTATTCTAATTAAATAAAATGACATTTGAAGTTCAGTCCTCAGTCACACTAGGCATATTTTAAGTGTATATACAGTAGCTACACATGGCTGACGACTGCCATACTGGACACCAGAAATGTAGAAAATTCCATCATTGCAGAAAGTTTTATCTGGTTCTTTCTCAGTCAAGGCTGTTAGAAGTCTTGATGTTCCCAAAGTATGGCTCTGACCCACCTGGGCAGGCAAGAACTCAGATCCTGGCACAGAAGGCATACCTCCCCACCACCACCCCATGTGCCTGACGATGCTCTACTTAAATCTTTTTTTTTTTCCTTGAGACAGAGTCTCACTCTGTGTTGCCCCAGGACTTCTACCCCCAGACTCCCAGGTTAGAGTACCATGGCATCAGCCTAGCTCACAGCAACATCAAACTCCTGGGCTCAAGTGATCCTCTTTCCTCAGCCTCCCAAGTAACTAGGAGTATAGACATGTGCCCAGTTAATTTCTCTGCTTTTAATAGAAACAAGGTTGTACTCTTGCTGAGGCTGGTCTCAAACTCCTGAACTCAGACGATCCTCCTGCCTCAACCTCTTAGAGTACTGGGATTATAGGTGTGAGCCCCCATACCCAACCCTGTACTTAATTCTTTTTTTTTTTTCCTTCAGTTTTTGGCCTGGGCTGGGTTTGAACCCACTACCTCTGGCATATGGGGCCGGTGCCCTACCCTTTTGAGCCACAGGTGCCGCCCCCCTGTACTTAATTCTTAAAAGCCAGGTAGGCACTTTAACTGGTAACAGGGCCTTCCTGGAGTCCAGGCTTCTGCTGGTGGTCATTTTTTTTTTTTTTTTCTGGTAGAGACAGAGTTTCACCAGTTGAACCTGCCACCTCTGGCACATGGGGCCGGTGCTCTACTCCTTTGAGCCACAGGCACCACTCTGCTGGTGGTCATCTTGTCTTTTAAGATTTCCCAAACCCCAATTCCCCATGTCTCTGTACTGCTGGAACTATCTTAAATTGAAAGTCACCCCCCTCAGGCTTGTTACATAATATCTGTGAGATCATAAATAACTGTACACTCCTTAAAATCATGTGGCCTTCTACCAGGGAACCTCTGTCCCCTTCCAGGTTTTATTGCTTTCAGATGGCTCAGAGACGTGTGGGGTAAAGATGCCCTAGTTCCCCTAAGCCAAGTATCCTCCACTGCCAGGGCTGTACCTATCCTCATACCTACCCCCATCTCCCCGACAGGGGGCATGTGCCCATTCCGTCACATCAGTGGCGAGAAGACAGTTGTGTGCAAACACTGGCTTCGGGGGCTATGCAAGAAAGGGGACCAATGTGAGTTCCTACACGAGTACGACATGACCAAGATGCCTGAGTGCTACTTCTACTCCAAATTTGGTAAGGTATAAAGAGCTGCCTGGAGCCCTGGAAGGGATCTGCTGACTGCTCAGTGTCCACAAAATTTCTGTCTCCAGATGAGAAACTCTGGCACAGCCTGCCAGTCTCAGCTGGCTCTTCCATAAGGGGATAGTGTGGTTATTCTCTGCTCGTCCCTTACATCTTTGTAGTACTTCAATCTTTGGAACACTTTCAAGTACTCACGGATGTTGAGACTAATGAGGGTTAGAGTGAGGAATGAGGGAGCACAGCTGGTCAGAGAACTAGATTCTGTCCATAGCTGCCTCCTCTCTCCAACACGGTCACTTGGGCCAGAGTTGATAGCTTCTCTCTGGGAGTATGATCCTATGTAACAGCTGAACTGTCCTAAGCAGCCCTTGAATATTGAGTCTGAGGGTCTGTCTTTAGTGCCAGTGAGACCTGCTGTTCACCTTGAACCTGAGATGCCTTTGAGCCCTGCTTAGAGAACACAAGGCTTAGCTGTCCTGAGCGACCTGTATGGAGAAGCAGGAGTTAGGGTAAGGTGGTGGGACAGCTATTGTGCTTCCTGATTGAGTTAGTCCCCAGGGTCGCTGTTCTGATATACTCTTCAAGATTTCCTAGGAGTTGGCTTTCTTGGTCAGCATGAAGGCTGGGTCTGACCCCATACAGGTGGCTGGAGAGGAAGCCAGAAGCCAACTGGAGTCTGGAATGACTGAGGAGTGCTGGGCACACTTTATACTTTGAAAGTACTGTTGTCAGAGTAGCCATTAATTATTTCAGAATCCCAACAGGATTGGCCTGCTACCTTTTTAATAATAGCTGTGGCATGTTTTGTGGAGGGAATGTAAGCTGATAAGTCAAAACTGACAGACAGAAGGAGGACCCAAGCTTCCTAGCTCCCCGGCGTTGTCCTCAAGTATTTTCTGACACACCACATCCCCCCTCCACCTCTCCAGGCACTGGAATGGGGCACAGACCCTAGTGGCAGGTACCAGTCCTCCTTGGCAGGCTTTCAAGGGCACACCTATGCCAGATGGCCTGGGGTTCCCGCCTTCCTTGCTAGCAGCCCCAGGCCTAGCAGCCCCCCATATCTCTGTGATGCTCCCTCTACCTGCCCTTGCCACACAGAGCCTGCACAGGTGTAGACACTGTATCTGCAGCTCCTATCACCTATGCCATGGACATGTATTGAAGGTCCACCTTCTAGACACTGGAGGAACATTGGTGAAGAGGACAGACTTCCTTGACCTCTAGTTGGACATTGGTGAAGAGGACAGCTTCCTTGGAGCTTTTGCTCTAGTGGTCAGGGAAAGAGAGAGATGGTAAGCCAGTGAGACAAACAGGAGAATTACTTGTGAAAAGTGCTCTGAAAGAAATAAACCATGGTAAGACCACACAATGGCATCTATTCTTGACAAAGTGGTCAGGGAAGGCCTCTTAAGGAGGTTCCTCAACTGAGTACCAAAGTACCTGTGTAGAGGGATGGTTATGGAGCAACAAGAGCTGATGTGAATCTGGGGAAGGGGTTCATATTTCCCCTGTATTTTGAGTACTGTCATTAACATGGATTGGGATGCCAAACCTTGAGATGGGTAGGTGCCCAGGGAAGCAGTTCTATTGCTAGTGGCTGCCTGGGCAGGTTGCTTCCAAGAGGCACAAGTCTACAAGTGATGTCATCACCACAGGGATGCATCCTTGAGTTCCCAATCTATCCCTGCTTTTGTCCTAAAAGACAGCATTTCTCAGGCACTTTGTCCCTCAAATCATAGATGTGAAGAGCCATCTGAGTAGAACAGTCATTGCCTGGTCTCGGTACATTTGGATATCTGGGCCTTCCATTGCCCTGAACACCTCCTCTACCTGGATAAGGGGTGGGAAGATGAATTTTGAAGAGTGTGTACACAGATGTCAGCCTCTGTTGGTATCATTAAACCTCTCAGCAGCACTGATGAATGTGAAGAAAGGACCATCACAGCTCCCTGTACAGTGGAGACCCAGAGACACTGCCCTGGGTCTCAGGGCTCACCAGGCAGAGACTGGGTACCAGAACCACCTGACCCCTCCTTTGCCTTGGAAGAAGTCAAGGAGAGCCCGGCCCTGGGTCTCCTGGAGCTATGCCAGGTAGCTACATGTCTGGGTTTCCCTGCAGGGGAGTGCAGCAACAAGGAGTGCCCCTTCCTGCACATCGACCCTGAGTCCAAGATCAAGGACTGCCCTTGGTATGACCGTGGCTTCTGTAAGCATGGTAGGTGCTAAGGTAGGCCGTGCCCCTAGCAGGAGGCCAGCCCTGCTTCCTCTGTTCACTTGGAGATTGCCAGCTGACTCATCTGGGATGTCACCCCCCACCTGTCCTGCTTGTCTTAGCAAAACCTGATGTTCTATAGCTAGTGAGACTTTTTCTTACCTTTCATCTCCCTTGAGCCTCCCAAGGATGCTGTGGGTGGTATTCTTGTCTGCATTTTTGATAAGGAGGCCAGTGTTGAGAGGTTGAGTCCTTGCCCACTGTTTCCCTATGAATGAGAGGCAAAGCCAACATTAGAAGCCATGCACTGGCTCTCTGGGGCTCTGATGAGTAGAGGAGACACTAGAGTGTCCCCCAAAGAGAATGTCTGAGTGACTCTTGATGCTTGGCTCTGCAGGTCCCCTGTGCAGGCACCGACACACGCGGAGAGTCATCTGTGTGAATTACCTCGTGGGATTCTGTCCAGAAGGGCCCTCATGTAAATTTATGCAGTGAGTAACCAGCTGCTTCCCTGTCACTGCCCTCTGTGACCAGCTGGGCTTTGGTCATGGGTGGTGTCAGTACCAGGGCCTGAGGCAGGGGTAGGAGATGGGGAAGGAACTGCTTATGGCCACTGGTGTTTCCTGAGCCTAGAGGTAGCTCTGTCTGGATCAGCATCTTCCTTGCTCATGGGCTATCTGAGAATCAATGAAAGCTGTGTGCCAGAAACACTTGTAACCTTGCATATTATGTAGGGAGTTTAGGGACTTTAAATTAAGTTATCTGTGTTCTAAAAGAAGGGAACTAAAGTTTCCACACTCCCTATGTGGAGGTCCTGAGCTTGGGGTTCCACATATAGTAGTTCATGTAACAAGTTTAAAAGAGAGAACGTCTCCATTTCACATATGAGCACACTGAGGCTCAGAGCTCAATCACTGGCCAAGGACATGTGGCAGTGGGTGGTGGCACCTGTGTAAAGAACAGTCTACAGGTCTCTAAAGATGGATTCTTCTTGCTCAGTGGGCTTAGTGTCCCTGTCTCAGGTCCAGTGCCTTGTCATCAGGAGCCCAGTGCACATTTGTCACTTTAGATGGTCGTGGGGTCATGCTTCTGCCTGGTACTGCAGAACAGCCTCTCCTCTTCCTATGCTGCCCCATCTACCCTGCTGAGCCTGCCCCAGGAGCACACACAGTCTCCTGTTCTGTTGGGACCCTGATTCTTGGCTCACTGCAGGCAGGTGGCCAGTGCTGTTCCTGCTCTCTAGAGAGCCCAGGCACCTCTAGTTGGTCCATGAGTTCCTGCCTATGGTGCAGATGTGTCACTGAGTAATAACACTTGAGTGAGACCCTGCTTGGGAGTAGGTTTTCGTGTATACAGCCCCTGCCACACAGCAGGCATATACAGACACCAGTGCTGCTGTTCGCCCATTTCTGAGAAGCAATGGCCCAAGGCTTTCCACGTTGGCACAGGCAGAGCTGAGTCTGAGCCCAGAAAGTCGGTCCTGTTCTTACCACCCTTCTTGTGGCCTCCCAGAGGCAGAGCTGAGTGCCAGTCCCCACCCCCTGTCTCTGCTGTGTGTCACTTTGTACTAGGGCAGCTGCATATGCTTTCCTAGAGCCAGAATTTGAAACATGGCCTGGCCACTCTCCTCCATCTGCTTTTCTTTCTCTTGTTCTTTCCCTTATGGCTGCTTGGTGACCAGCCCTCGATTTGAACTGCCAATGGGAACCACCGAGCAGCCCCCACTGCCACAGCAGACGCAGCCTCCAGCAAAGGTACCATGCCTCATCTCCTCCTTGGCCTCCACCAGCCCCGGCAATACCACCTTCATGTGTGGTTTGCCTTAGATTCAGCTGGAGACCTTGTAAGGGAAGGGTGAGGGAGGAGGAGGGAGAGAAGGGGAATGCCCCTCTCTGAGTTCCAGCAGAAAGGTAGGAACAAAGCACTTTGTGTCTCCCTCTAGAGATGTAGGGCATCCAGCCCTAGAACCTGAGCACTGCAAGGCCGAGAGGGGATGAGCAGGATGGCAGACAGGGTTCAGGTGGCACAAGACTATCCTTTGTGAGATGGGGCTGCCTGGCTCAACAGTGTCTGCGTCTGGGGCTAGAATGAAGGGTGGCCTAGGTACCCACATCTGCTGCTTTTGCTTCTGGGTTGGATCCTTCCCTTTACAAATGGAGAAACTGAGACTCCTAGAGGGCAGAACTTGGCCAACACTGCTGGGTAAAAGCAGATGTGGGAGTAAAACCAAGACCAGCTGGTTCCCTGGCCATTGCCATCACAGCTCCAGTTTCTGCTGCAAGAAGTGGAGGCCAGGAGGGGCTAAGAATACAGGACTCAAATCCTAGCTGGCTCCAGTTCTATAGAAAAGTGGCTCCACGGTCATACAGGTGGTCTGTCCCTTCAAGAACCATAGGGAAATGCCATAGACAAATTGGGATCTGAAGCAGTCCCGCTAAACCAAGGGCACCCTGAGTTTGGTTATGGGAGTGGGAGGTTTGGCCCGGAAGAAGGGCTGGCCTGGGTGTCAGGCAGGGTCTCCTACAGATGCACCAAGTAAACCCACCTGGTGAATGCAAAGCATTTACTTCCTGCCATGTTGGACTCTGGGCCTGTTGCCAAAGCCTCCCTTGGTGCTGAGCTGCAGGAGGGGGTGGAACTGCCCTTGTCTGCTTCACTGACCTCCACCCACAGGATGCAGTGGTGCCAATCAGACCAAACTCCTTGGGAAAACCAGGAATTCCTGGGTGCAGTGCAGCCATCAAGACTTGAGACCAGGGGATTTCCTAGCTGGGGTTCTGCCTTTTGGGGGGCCAGAGCCAGGAACCCACTTGGTTGGGAAGTAGTCTTGCTGTTGAATCTCACCCCACGGAACTCCCATCCTCTTTCTTGAGTAACTCCCTAGAGGAGGGCCCTCTCAGCCCCTAGATAGCAGGTCAGTGTGTCAGGCTCCAACTGTTTTTCTGTGACTGTTACTCGCCGTGTAGGCTGCTAAACATCTGGCTGAACCAAGCGTTCATCCTGACCTGAAGCTAGAACCTCAGAAACGAAAGTAAGGCCTGATCATGCCCTCGCCCCACTGCCCCAGAGACCTCCTTTTGTCTCTTTGGTGTTTTGTTTTCTACTTTTAGTTTTCGTTTTTTGTGTGTCTGCATGGTGTTTTTCGGGCAGTAGCTCCTGCCATCATCACCAGATGTTTCTCTTCCGCCTGCTCTCCTGAGCTGGGCCATCGCAGAAGCCCTTCTTCCTGCTGGCCATGCGGGACAAGTCCCGCCCTCTTTTTCCTGTCCCCATTGGTAGTCTGCGTGCACGTGTTTTCCACAGTAAAACCGTGTTGTGTAACTCTTTCCAGCAAAGTAACAATCCGCCATTACAAAGGTCGTCCTCCTTGATCCAGTTAACGAGTCAGAACTCTTCTCCCAACCAGCAGAGAGCCCCGCAGGTCATCGGGGTCATGCAGAGTCAAAACAGCAGTGCAGGCAACCGGGGACCCCGGCCGCTGGAGCAGGTCACCTGCTACAAGGTGAGTTGTGGGTCTGGGGATGGGGTGGGCTGTCTGCGCCAGCGTTGGCACTATTCCCTCAATTCCCCTATGTTTGGCTATATTTGAAAAATGGAAACATTTTTGGTTTTACTGACTAAGGTCACAATTTAGTTACAATCTACTATGGTAGGCTAGAGACCATTCTACTTCCTACCACAACACAACAAGGCAAGGTAAAGGATGATAAAAACACAGTACTTAATGGATTGTGCTTACAAAAAAGTGAAAGAAATTTCATTGAAGTGTCTGGCTGCTCTGGAGGCATCCTCAAATCCTGTAATGGGCACATACAAGGAATTAGAACACCCATTTCCTGGCTACCAGTACATAAAATGAGATGCTCAGAGAAAGGAAAGAGTGCACCTAAACCTACCAGAAAATTTGTCCTCATTCCTCACTCTAGATGGAAAAGGGGAAAAATCCATTGAGAGTTTGTAGTTAATGGGCTGGCCCTTACATGAGTTTGGGCCTGTATTCGTATCCTTGGTGAGAGCCCAAGAGTTACAAACTAAGTTTTCTAAAAAAAATCACCTGGGGACTAATGTGTCCCCAGCACCTGGCAAGAGCAACTTCAAGTGCTAGAGTAGTATATTCTCAACCCAAGCCACACAGAATTCCCAGAGCTAGAGTTCTGAAGAATTAGTTCATGATTATAAATCACAAAACATACAAGGAACCAAGCAACACTCTGAGTTAGCAGGAATAACTATTGATAGAACTAGACACACAGAGACTTCAGATTTGGGAATTATTAGACATAAAATACAAATTAGTACATGCTTTTTGTAAAAACTTATAGATGATACAAAAATGGTTAAGGGAGAAAGTAAGTGTTGTCCTTTAATCTCATCTTTCCTAAAATAGCCACTTTATTCTGTGTGTTCTAACATTTTTTAATTTCCCTTTATACTTGTAAACCCCCTGAGGGACACCCAAACCAAATTTGAAGAACTGCTGTTCTAAGCTTTTATTCACACAAACCAAAGGATAATACATATGTTAATACAAATAGGGCCTTACTTAATATGCATGACATTCTTCTTTATAATATCTGTGGCTCTTATAGCATATGGAAATCTGATCTTTTCCAGTGGCTACATAAGAAGAAGCAGTTTTACCCATTCTCTCTAGACAATTATTAATAGTTTTTACTGCTAATAACAGTGGTGAATGGGACACTTGGGACAACTGTGAGCTCTTGTCTGATGATATCCTTAGCATCATGCCTACAGGAGGAAGGTCCAAGGGGCACATACTTAAGATGTTCTTAGAACTTGCCCTGAAGAAAAGTTGAGCCCTGGGGCGTCTCCCAAGGCCATAGGTTATTCACTGAGCTCTTGCTCTGTGCTGGCTCTGCTAAGGAGACAGAGGCTTACCACTGCTTTTTCCTAGAGGAAAAAGGCAGGTACTTGAAAAGTGCTTGTGGATTCAGGGAAGGCCTCATAAGGGAGATTTCTGAGCCTGGGTCCTAAATGTGTGGAGCTAGGGGGCAGGCAGGAGAAAGGCAGTGCAGTACACTTAGCTGTCATCTTGTAGCCCACCATAGGACTGTATTCAGCAGGGCCTCTGTGAAGCAAACTCAGTACTGGAACTTGGGAGCATCATGCAGTTAATTCCAGAGATGCTTTGTGGGAATCCTGGATTTCCCAAGGTTGGCTATGGAGGCTGATCGGGAGTGGGTGAGTGCTGTTAATGGTGCAGCACAGTCCCCTCTGATCATTACATTAGCCTGAGGACCAGTTGGCAGTTACCTGGGCCACTTTCCACATAGAAGTCACACCTACAGATCAGTTAAATTTGAATAGAGGGAGCAGGGGTGCTGGGCAGTGATTAAGCAGAGCCCTGTTACAGAGGATGCAGGGACTAGTAAGGGGGTGGTAGTTCAGTCAGTGCTGCTTTCTGATCTTTCATTCAGTGCTTGAGGATGCCATTTACTTCCTTGTAATTCCCTTCTGTTTTTCACAAGAATGAAGTGAGGCTGCAAAAGGGCCTGGATGATCAGAGCCAGGACAAGTTGGGGTCAGGGTTAGTTTTCTCTAGGTGACTCTCCAGTTCCACTCACCCCAAGTTTCAACATTGTTCTTTGATCCTATCATCTAAACCTGTCCCTGGGGTAGCTTAGACAGGTATGTCAGAACCAGGAGGGAAAACTTCAGGTGCAGCCCACTCTCAGTGTATACTGACTCCCCAAGTTGGAAGAGGAGCCTGGTGGCTTCTCTTCTGTTTTTCCCTCCTGTGTCTCCTGCCAGGGAGTCCCAGACATTGACTTAGAGGTAAGTGACTGGCCTGCTGTGCTGGGGGCTTGGTCTCAGACAGTGGGGGAGCTCAGGGTCCATGGACTTCTCTCCATCCTGCCACCCACTTGTGAGTCCCTCCCTGGGCAGGCCTATGTCCCTGCAGATAAGTTGTAGCCCTGAAGGAGCTCCCTGCTGGGTGCCAACAGATCAACTGGCAGCCTTGTTTTTCCTTCTATCTGCTGAGCTGCTGGCTGCAGTTTCTGCAGCACTGTATTTCCCTGAGGTCCCTTTCCCTTCAGTTTGGAAGAAAATCTAAATCAATGAGAATGTCAAAGTCCTATCTCCAATTGGATATTTGGTAGGTGCTGCTTTGTTGAAAATTTGCATTTGAAAAGTTTTTTTTCTCTCCTTCCCTTCCTGCTGTTCCCAGTGTGGTGAAAAAGGACACTACGCCAACAGATGCACCAAAGGGCACTTGGCCTTTCTCAGTGGACAGTGACAGCAGCTGGAGCCAGCTCAGGGCAGCCCAAAGGGCCCCATTGTTAGGAGCATGCATTTAACTGTCTTGCGCAGTGTTAGTGCAGCTCTGGCTGGAGCCATCCTCTGGGCACATGGGCAGTCATCATTCTGAAGGGTCATGTCCGTTAGTCTATCATTTTGCTGTAATCTTTTTATAAAAGGGGACATGTGCTCCAGTTGGGTCCCTCAAGTGGACATCATGTTTATCTAGGCATCAGTGCCTCCTTTCTAGGACTCCTGCATCCCTGCCCTCTGGGGAGGGGAAGGAGTTGCCAGGGAAGGGCTTGTGCTGCAGTTTTGTGTGATTGTGTGAAAGCTGGCCTTTCCCCTTGTGGTCCTCTTAAATACCAGTTCTTGGCAACCCTGGGGACTGGTGGGTCCTTCAGAGCTGTGGCCAGGTCATGTCTGCTTCTTTCCTGTCCTGCTGAATCTAAAGCTGTGCCTGTTGATATGAACAAGGGAGCCCTGGTGGCAATCCAATGTCTACACGCCTTAGCCTGGTCTCAGGTAGGCATGGTTGAGGAGGGTATAGGGCTCTCAAATTTGAGATTCTTTTTCTTCTGGGTTTAATTTCTCTTGGGACACCTGGCTGACAGCGTTAAAGGTATACTTGAGCTGGAGTTGCAGACCTTCAGATAGATAACCCAGTCCCTCTGAACCTACCTCCTGCCCATTAAGTGTCTGTACTGTCACTCAGACACCTATGGAGGAGACGCCCTGTCCCTGAGCCTGGAAAATGTGAAACTCAACTGCAAACTGCTAGGCAAAGTGGGCCTATCCAAGTTAAATTACAAGAACAATTTTTATAAAGTTGATTAAAGCTTGTTTTTTAAGCTGTGTCTCATTACTTAAGGGGCTCCATGCCAAGGAGAGAACTCTTGTACTAGCTGCACTAGCTGTGACATCAGTGTTTCTTGTCCCTTTCAACAAATATGAATTTTAGAGGGAAATGATGCTGCCAGGAAACACCTTTGTAGGGGCAGCTGGTCAGGTCTGGGAGCTTGACCTTTGGGACAGCCAGGTGTTAGGTCTTCATTCAAGTCCAGATCTTCCAGGACATACAGGGTGCAGCATCCTACCTCTGTACACTGCAGTATGTGCTCATCACACACCCCTCAGCAGGGAACTGGTGTTGATCTTTGTGCCACATGCGGCACTGGGGGCTCCTGAGGAAGGGTGCTGGATGCAGAGGCAGTTTAGGGGTGGTATGGATCAGATCCAGGCCTTTCCCACACCCCTATACTGTGGAGATTCCCATAGGTGAAGCCTTACCAGGAAGGTGAGACTACCTACAGCCTGAGCAGCAACACTGAGATCCCCAGATAGTGCTGAGTCACCTAACCCTATAGCCCTGCAGAAAAATAACCAGATATTCAGGCCATCAAAAAACCCTTTGCTAAGAGTTAATACCAGGGGTGGGGGCCAGCATCTTAGGAACACAAGTCTTCTGATGTATAGCATAAAGCACCAGCCAACAAAAGGACAGAATGCATCCAGATGCTCATGGCCACCCACAATGTTCACAGCAAGGGACAGACCTCTGGGCACTGCTGATAGAAGGTTCCAATAACATCCTGCCCCTAACCCCCAGTGAGCTGGGACATGATCCCACATGGTGGTTTGGGGAACCCACAGAGGCATCAAGGGTCAAGGACTTTAGGTGTTTGACAATCCACCTTGTGCAGCAGGTGCCCCTGGATCATGAGACCATGGCTACAGCAGGTAAGCAGCACACATTACCAGTCATCTTTTATTTGGAGGTTAATTCTCACTAGGATGTGAAAAGATTCAATTATGACTGAGTTCCTCACAGAAGGTGCTGGGCCAAGGAAGTCAAGGTCAGGACTGCCGAAGGCACCTCCCATGGGGCCCTCTTCAGTGGTACTTGCGTAGCCGCTCATGTTCTAAAGTCAAAAAGGGAAAAGAATATTTTAAAAGGTCATATTGAAAGCACAGATGACTGACAGCAAACTATGATCACACCAAGCCTTCCTGAGAATTCCTTTCAGGAAATGACCTAGAACCTGTCTGCCAGGTCTCAGCAGCCAAGAGGAATCTGTCCCTCAGGCAGCATCACCCTGGTACAGCAGACTAGCAAGGGGCTGGACACTCTGAAACCCTGTTAAGAGGCCACCATTGTTCCCAGCATCTCCCACTAGATAAGCTCTTCGCAGGCATCAAAGCCAGGAATAGCCAGCGATGCTTTTCTAGAACGCTGCATGGTTACCAGAGCATACTACTCAACCTATTTCCCTCTTCACACTGGCAGCTAGGAAGGTCAAATCAAATTATAGCAGAGCCCACAATATCTTAGAAAGAATGCTTTCTAAGTACTGCCTTTACTTTAGGCTTCATCTTGTTTTTCTTATCTATGTTCTCCATCACAGTTTTCTCACTTAAAGCAGTATCTCATATAGTATATTCTGATAAGTCCCTACAATCTTTTTTTTTCTTTTTTGGAGATAGTCTCACTCTGTCACCTTGGCTAGAGTGCAATGGCAGCATCATAGCTCAAAGAAACCTCAAACTCTTGGGCTCAAGTGATCCTCCTGCCTCAGCTTCCAGAGTAGCTAGCTGTGACTACAGGCACACACGTTGACATCCAGCTCATCTTTTTATTTTTAGTAGAGACAGGGTCTTGCTTACTCTGTCTGCTCTCAAACTCCTGAGCTCAAGCAGTCCTTGCACCTTCATGTCCCAGAATTGCTAGGATTATAGGCATGAGCCACTGTCACTGTGCCTGGCCAAATCCCTATAGGTAAGGACCATACTGTGTCCAATCAAGTCTCTCTGATTGTTTCAGATGAAAAGTGTAGGTAAGGAATGTATAGTCCCTCCGCTGCAGGAAGTAGACTGCAATATCCAACTTGAGCCAGTGCCACCCTCTTATGACAGACTAAAGGCAAGATAGTACAAGAGGCACTCACTGAGCTCCTTGTAAGAAAGACAGTAGCTGAAAAGCACGTAAGCTGCCAGCACCATAGTAACCCCACCGATGCTCCCCTTCTTCACGTTGATGTACTTGTTATAATACCGGTGATAACCTGTGAAAGCAAGAGGAGCTCACTGCACATGATGCACAGCTGAGTCTGGCCAAAATTCAGAAACTCAGTCCTACTCTGGTTCTGGTACTCACCCTACATTCACTAGTTTGTTAAGGTGAAAAGCACAAATGCCCATAGTGTCTCTGGTCTCCATAGCCCAAGACCAGCTCCTGAGTTAGGGCTACCTCTATTCTGCCTCTCCCCCTTGGCCTTGATCTTGTAGATGTAGCTCAGCTTATAAGCCTTTGATCCTACCTCACCCCCATCTCCAGGCCTGGGGGATCCCCTTACCCTAAGTCTGACCCACAATCCAAACTCCAATAAGGGCTACTTTATAATGGCCAACTAGGCCACTGGTGAGGAGGAAGGCTTCTTTTTTTTCATCTCTTCATGGGTGCGTAAGTATGTGCACCCAGAGAAGGAAACATACATAGTTCTTGAGACAGTCTCACTTTGTTGCCCTCAGTAGAGTGCAGTAACCTCATAGCTCACAGCAACTTCAACCTCTTAGGCTAAAGCAATTCTCTTGCCTCAGCCTCCCAAGTAGCTGAGACTATAGGCACCTACCACTTTTTTTTTTTTTTTAAGATGGAATCTAACTTGGGTGACTTGGTAGAGCACTGTAGCATCATAGCTCACAGCAACCTCAAACTCTTTAGCTCAAGTGATTCTCTTACTCAGCCTCCCAAGTAGCTTGGACTACAGGCACCTGCCACAACTCCCAGCTGTTTTTAGAGACAGGGTCTCGCTTTTGCACAGGCTGGTCTCAAACCCATGAACTCAGGCAATCTAATTGTCTTGGCCTCCCAGAGTGCTGGGTTTACAGGCAGGTGCCTGACTAACATACAGTTTCTGCCCTCTTTATTTTTTATTTTATTTTATTATTTTGGAGACAGACTCTCACTATGTCATCCTTGGTAGAGTCCCATGGCATCACAGCTCATAGCAACCTCAGACTCTTGGGCTTAAGCAATTCTCTTGCCTCAGCCTCCCAAGTAGCTGGGACTATAGGTGGCCATCACAATGCTGGGCTATTTTTGTTGCAGCTGTCTTGTTTAGCTGGCCCAGGCTGGATTTGAACAGTCAGCCTTGGTGCATGTGGCCAGCACCATAACCACCATGCTATGGGTGCTGAGCCAGTTTCTGCCCTCTTGAGGCTCAATCTAGTCAATGAAAAAGAATGAAATGACCACAGACAACTATAAGGAAGGGGTCCCTGTAGGATTATCTGGGTCTTTATTCCTGGAATGCTGTCACAGATTACACAAGACTGACCTGACCAGTAGTGCATTTTTATTTTATTTTTTTTTTTTTTGAGACAGAGTCTCACTATGTCACACTTGGTGGAGTGCCATGGTGTTACCACTCGCAGCAACCTCAAACTCTTGGGCTTAAGCGATTCTCTTGCCTCAGCCTCCCAAGTAGTGGGACTACAGGCACCTACCACAATGCCTGGCTAAGCAGTGCACTTTTTAAATGCACAGACCTAAAGGACAGACCATTTCAAATAACTGTCTTAGAAGTCCTGGCAAGAATAAAGCATTGACCTAGCACTCTGGGAGGCTGAGGCAGGTGGATTGCCTGAGCTCATGGGTTCAAGACTACCCTGAGCCAGAGAGAGACTTTGTCTCTAAAAATAGCTGGGCATGGTGGCGGGTGCCTAAAGTCCCAGCTACTTAGGAGGCTGAGACACGAGAATCACTTAAACCCAAGAATTTGAGGTTGCTGTGAGTTATTACCCCACAGCACTCTACCACGGGTGACAAAGTGAAACTCTGTCTCAAAAAAAAAGGATAAAGCACTGTATTAGAGAGTAATACTTACTACAGTTCAAACTCATTTTCCTCTTTAAGAAGTCTTAGGATATGAAAATAGTCATAGACATTTCTTTAAAAATAGGCAGAGGTATTGATTCCAAGTAACAGAAAATATTTTCTTGGCTGAAATATCTCACAGCCAGCCTTTGATTAGGCCAGTCAAACATGGAGATCCAAAGGCTAACATCCCTTCTGTAGGGTTGTCTGAGACAAGAGCTTTATTACCCAAATTATGGCAAAAAGAGACCTGAAGACTCAGAGACTTGCTTTTGTTTATACATATCCATAAGGATCTGACCTCTTTGAAAGGCTCCAACAATGCCGTTAGGCGTGAAATCCCGCATCAAAATCCAACTTGGCAGCTCCCCTAGTTTGACATCCATGAGTTTCTTCTCCTTCAATGACACTGAAAGGAAATAGCAAAAAAATGCGTCCACTGAATAATCTCCCAATCAGAAAAATAGTATCTTTTCATGTCACTATTTCAACAATTCAATAAAATGTATAATCTAACTACGGTAGGGTGACCAGATTTTAACATCTGTAC